GCTGGGGCTGCTGGCGTCCCCCCCGTGACGCCGCCCTTAAAAGCACAGTCTTAGCTCAGCTGAATCCCATCTACCTATGCCCACACCCTACTCCAGGTGCCCGCCATCAGGCATGCATTCAGGACAAGGATCCATCATCTATCCTGATGGCGGAAGGGCAGAAAAGCCTGATATTTTCTTTACCCTACAGGTGGTCTGGGCAGGATAAGATGCATGTAATATGTAAATGCTCAAAGAAGTATATTTTACATGGAAGGTACTAGAATAAACAAAAAGTCACGTCATGTTTAACCCCCAGGACTGTGGTTTCATGTGCTGTTTTCGTCCCTACAGATGGATTTAACATCAAAATCCAGCAACAGTCTTTTTAGAAGTTACTTGCTTCTCCTTCCTTTCACTCTTGTCTCCCTCCCTCTTCCTGCCGCCCCTCCACTCCCCCATTCTTCTCCTTGGAGGCAATAAGCGATAGTAACACAGTGGGTGTTTGACTGTTATGGTCAGAGATACCCATTTTATACATTGGGCCGAATGATCCACCATTGATAAAGCTTTGACCTCTGTATCCCCTAGAGAAATCCTCAAAGACGTCATTTGCTTTTGCATGTAAGTTAATACAGGGGTGGCACAAACTGTTCCTCACCTTCACATGTTCCTTTTTGGCAAATACGGCCAAGAGGTCTAGTCTTGGGAATCACTGATGAGGCACATGTTGACCCTTGTCCTGCCCTCACTGCCCCCAAAGGGAGCTTGAACTTTTATTTCCTAATTCAGCCCTCATAGGGAGAATGACTTCAAGAGAAACCTTGGCTTCTATAGATGTTGCAGAATATATTTGTGACCACTGATTTGACTGTAATGTGTTTGACTCACAATCCTTTATTTTTTTTAGACCAAGAAAACTAACCACATTAAAGAAGTCTCTAACCAAAGAGATAAAAATGCCCATCGCCCTTCCTGACTCATAACCTTAATGACTGATTTCTTGCACAGTGATGGGGAGGTGCCAGCTTCACACTACCTGTTTCTTGAGCACAGCAGAAGCTCCCACCTCCGCCCCCAATCGTAGGTTATGTCAGCAGGCCAAATTTATGTACTTTTTCATTGAAATTGGTGTTGCTAGAATTAGCCACATATACTTGACTAACCCACTTACTAAATCCTCTCCTTGTGAAATGGCTCGATTTTGTATCACCTGTAGACATCTTGAGCTCCAGTGGTTACATGAAATCCTTAGCAGGCTTCAGCACGAAATCCTTACCAGGCTTCAGAGGGATATCTGAGGTTGCTAACACCCAGTATTGACAGAATAATGATATCATGTATGCACATCAGAAATGATGGTTCTTTAGGGGAACTTGTGATCATTTCATGAAGCAACAGATTTCCAAGAACAAATTTTGTTGCTTAGTGCCCTGCCCCCATAACTTCATTCCTTAAATTTATGGAGTGTGACTTCCAAATAAGTGCAATGTGACCTTTTACCCAGTTTTACCTATGCCTTAAATTAGTGTGCCTTTTTGGCATAGAACTCATTCACTATTTCATCTTCAAATTTTTGCTAATTATTCTAATTGCTAATTATAATAATAATAAACATCTTGTCCTCGGGTCACTTTGTCAAGATGATGGCTTTCTTTGGGATATAATTAACATCTTTCACTTGGTTGTTTTACCTCCATGCTTCTCAAAGTCCTGAAGATTGTATAGCACCAAAAATTAATCTGACCCAAGAATTACCTTGCCAAAACTTGTTATAACATTATACTCTAGAGTGGTGATTCTCACAACAGAAATTGAGAAAGATGACGTCCTTTCTTGGAGGGACATGGTCACCACATAGCCAGTGAGAGGCTTAATGTCTTTCTCGAGTCTCCTCTTTCTTCTCTTTTTGATAAAACGGAAGCTCTGTCTGGTCAGCCCTCTGACTCAGCCCCTTCTTTTCTTCTATACCCCGTGAGTTGCCTAATTCCATTCATTAGCACTGCAGTGCTTCTGTCATCGCCAGTCTCCTCATTCCCACTTGCCGAGGCCCTAATCCAGGCCCACACACAGGATGTCCTCACTTAATGTCATCACTAGGTTCTTGGAAACTGCAGTTTTAAGTGAAATGACATCAAACAAAACCAGTGTTACCACAGGCTAATTGATAAATACAAGAGTTAAGTCCCCATGGTCACAAATCACCAGCCTTCTAAATGAAGACCCACATACATTAAATATTAGCAATCATTGGTGTTCAGCCATTCATTCATTTTCCAACACACATATGCAGTTCAGGGTTCTCAGCAGCTCAGGGTATAAAGGGGGAACCAACCCTGGACAGGATATGGGGTGTCCATACACCCCCTCGGAGAGGTGATTTTTTAATTTATCAACATTATAATAAATGATATTGGCTAAAATGATGTTATTCTAGGACTTACTGTAGTTGATTTCTCTGGAGCACCATCCCCACTCCATCCTATTCTGTGTGGGGCTCACACTCATAGACTTCTTTCTAAAGACTTATCCCAGTCTTTGCCACTTCCCTGTGCACTAGCATCCCTGAAGGGCTTGCAGAAACCGAGATGGCTGGCTGCTCCCACCCCGACCGCCCCTGTCCACAGAGTTTCCAACTCAGCATGTCTGGCATGGTACTGGCTAATTTGCTTTCCTTATTTGGGCCAGCTACTCTCCAGACAGTCCTTTTTCAGCCCTTAGTTCTAGGGTGAACCCTGCTTCTGAGATTCCAGGCCTACTTCCTGTCTGTCTACTGTGACTTCCTTTGGGTTTTTCTGCTTAGTGAGTGCTCCCTGAGTCCCTTGGGTCATGGAAAGATAACATTCAGGCCCCTTCAGAACAAGCTCCACAGGGGATTCACTGGATTTACACCTGCCCCATTGACAGCAGTGGAAACTGGGGAGGGGGTATCACCTTTGCAGGGGTAGCCTGAGTATTACCAAGAGTGAATGAGTACAAAGAGAGATGGAGAGGCACCATTATCCCTACCTGACTGTTGCAAGGATGCCCTAGGCTGCCTGCACCTGTGACGTGCTGACAGGCAAGTGGGTCCGGCCACTGCAGGCAGCAACTGCAGCAGAGCCTCCTCTTCACCAGACACACCTCTTACTTTCGCAGCTTTTTCACTCCTTCTATCTCCTTGCCTTTCTCTTCTTCCCTGAGCCATGATGAACCTGGGTCTTTTTGGTGACTTCTTGGCTTGAAATCTGATGCTTACTATAAAGCCACAAAACTGCTTTTGCATTTTCATTTTGAATATTTGTTAGAGTAAAATTATAGGCCGAGAAGGACTGGTGTTAGAGTTAGAACATGTTACAGAGTGCCTGAGTTAGAGTCTACACATCCTTACTTTACAGGAAATTTCTTGTTTCTCCAAAAATTACTTTGGAACTACACCCCGGGCTTCCCCCATGTTACTGAAAAGAGAGAAGACTCAGCACTTCAAGTAATAACAATGCATGAGTCTAAAGTGACAAGGTTTCCCATCATTAAATGTACACAAAAAAACTGCCTTATAAAGTTGTAGGCTGTTGTAGCTGGTAGTTATGTTTAGAATCATGACTTCAGGTATTAGAAAGCTTCTGCCAGGACAGAGAAGACTGTGTGGTGACTAGAATAGATGACTGAGTGACGCATACTCCAGGAAACAATCAGCAGTTTTAGATCAAGAGTTAAACACATATCCCCAGCATATTGTAGCTATTGAAAGCATGTATAAAGATATGTAAGCATGGGGGGGGGAAAGTCTAGAAACTCACCAAAGTGTTCATAAGGCTTGTCAGTCCCCCTGCGACTCCCTGACAATACTTCTGCACTATTGAACATTTTAAACTAAGCAATGATAATGTAGGGGGAGGAAGGAAAGAGCCTGTGGCAGGTGGAGCGAGGAATCCTAATTAAGCATTGAAACACAAGAAAAAGACTCCATCGAAACTTACCTGGCAGTCCCATCTTACCAAAGGAATCCGCTGGAACACATTCCCCCAGCAGCTTTGCCGCCCACGCTGTCCTCCACTCTCTCAGACCCAGCCCTTCGCCCCTTCTCCACAGAAGCTTTCCTGTTTTCTCCCTCAAAACTTCAAGCCACAAATGCTGTCTCCCACCTGTGGACAGGCCTTTCTTGTGGCACCAAAAGCCCTTGTATCATTGTTTAATTTCCCCCAAGAAAGGGGAACACTTTCCTTTGCAAATGTGAAGAATCCCCTGGACCCCTTGCAGTATCTCTGCAGCCCTGGAAGCTCACAGGTTGAGACAAGAACCTCTAAGGAGACGTCTGTGGCCCCGGGAAGCTGGGCACTGAGTCATCTTCCTGACAGGAAAGCACCTTCACATAGCAGCTGTGCTCCCTGAGCCCCAGGTGAAGGCTGCTGGGTGCCTTGTGATTCCACATCCCTCTAAGTGCTGCAAACTGCACTTGTGAGGGTGTGTCTATGACATCCACACATTTTGTAGCCAATAATTGTAAGGATTAGATGCTGTATGGGAAGCTGACGTAACAGCTCGATTCCACTGCAATTGGCAAAGAGATAAAGCAGTGGAGATAATTTCAAAAAGAATAGAGAGAATAGCATGGAAGTCAAACCAAATGGCATGCTGTTTGCACAGGAGTGGACACAAGACGCTCCCCCTGTGCTGCTCTGCCACCATGTGAGAGCCGCCATGTGTATGTGGCGGCTGTATGTGGCGGACAGGACAGGGCCCTGTCCCTCCTGCTCAATCTGGCCTGTCTGGCAGGACCTGTGCTTATAGGTCTGTGAACCTCATTTCTTTTCTCCTCAAGTGTTCCCTTTCCCCAGGGATCCTCCAGCTGCCTTTGGTCGTAGCCTTGTTTCTCTGAAGCTGCCCTTGTTCCCAAGTGAGTGATGCATAATTGCACACCAGCCACCCCTGTACAGCAATTCCTTCAACAAACACTCACAGAGCAGCTGCTCCCCAGGGCCCCCACAGGCCTTGTGTTTTATTACTTTCGTCTAATGTGTCCGTCTCTCTTTTTTCCACAGGGTAGTGGAGGTGCGCGGAGGTCAGCAATTCTCACCAGTGACGAGACCTTTGAGTATTACTACGATGATGTCCGAACATTGTATGAAGGTTTCCAGAGGGGTATACTGGTGTCAAGTAAGCATTTCACTGAATTAGTGTGATTAATACTTAATGACTTTTACTCAGAAAGAGCAGTCTTTAGGAAGGCCTATTTGCTCCAATCTTTTACCTACTTAGTATTGTTCAAGTCTCCTGTCTCTTCCCGTAACTTCTCTCAAGTGAGTCCAAAGCCCACTGGCCTCTCTTCATGGTTATGTGGCTAAGGGCTTCTGGGGTCAAACAAATCTCCAGTATGTCCTGTGTTTTATGGAGTCGCATTTACATGAGCCGTTTTGGAGCCTGTCATTTCCTGCATTTGAGGGACCTTTTAATTGAGCCCAACGTTTTTCAAACTCACTTGACCATGACACTCATATTTTGAGAAATCAGCACTGACACTCCCAGGAGACGGTGTGCCATCAGAGACACTTTGGCAATGTGCGCTTTTGGGGTTATCTTTAATTACTAACAGTGGCTTGTGAGACCCGCCTTCTTTTCCGCCTCTCCTGTCCAGGCCTCCACCCAGCTCCCCTCAGGTCCCACTGCTCTTCTTCTTCTTCTTCTTTTTTTTTTTTTTGACCATATCTGAATGATTGTCTTTTTATTTATTTATTTATTTATACAAGCACTGGGTACAGTCAGAAGCGCGGGAGGGTGAGAGAATTCACCAGAGCCAGAGCGGGGAGCAGAGCAGGCAGAATAATGAAATACACTGCTGAGGGGAGCAGCGGGCGGCAGGAGAGGTCTGCGAGACATGTGGGACCCTCGCCCGGTGGCTGGGGATTGAACCGGCACTGTAGAGGCTGCGGGCAGCTTCGCAACCCAGCGCTCAACCACTGTGCCACCGGGGAGGCCCCCCACTGCTCTTCTTGCCAAGCCACAGCTCCCTCAGCACTCATATCCCCACATCTTCATGCACTTTTTTCCTGATCATAAATCCTCTTTTCTTTTTTTTAAATTTTATTTTATTTATACAAGAACTGGGGTACAGGCCAGATGTGTGGGAGGGTGAGAGGATTCACCAGAGACAAAGCGGGGAACAGAACAGCAGACCGATGAAATACACTGCTGAGGGGAGCAGTGGGCGCCACAGGAGAGGTCTGCCACGCCACGTGGGTTGCTCCATGGCCAGCGGGGATCGAATTGGCATTGCAGAGGGTGCGGACAGCTTCACAGCGCTGTGCTCAACTGCCTACGCCACCAGGGAGGCTCAAATCCTCTTCTTTTCTCCCCTTCCCATCCAGGTGCTTGGTATGGTATGACTGATCTTACAAAGCTCATTGCATTTCACCTTTTCCAGTCTTTCTGGCCCATCATTTTCATCCCCTACCTCTGTATGGGGCACTGCCCCCTTCCTGAGCCCCTTGGACCTATTCTCTCAGAGCCCCACAGGGAACAGAGGCATTTATCTGGCATTCCCCCTCACTAGCCTGGCCCATGGAGCAGGGCACCTGGCAGTCCTCCCTCTTCTCTGCCCTGACACAGTAGGTGTCTTATTTAAATCTTTTGGACTAGCTTTGTGCCCAGGCTCACTAGACTGTAATCTCCTTACGGGCAGGGGCTGTGTGCTCTCTCCGTCCCAGCCACATGTTGCATTACTGAGTGCTCAGGAAGTGCTCATTGGCTTTTACTTGAGATGGGCCAATCAGATTGCTCACCTCAGTGTGTGTGCCGCCATATTCCTGTAATAGAGTCATTAAGCCTTACTTTAAAGGGAAAGCAAATTCACTAATATAAGTTTTAATTTATGAATTTCTTCAGAATCAGTGTCAGGGACAGGGTTGGTCTGTGAAGGTAAATATCCATAAGGTAGAACTAAACATATGGCCACATGAAAATATTGTATTTATATATAACGTATGTGTGTATGTGGATAGATATCTTCTTTACCACTGCCACAAGCATGCATATGTATAAATGTATGTACATTTTTTTATGTTGCTGGCAGAAGATGAGGTTCATCTAGGAGAATGGTGACTCACATTATAATTCTTACTCTCTCCTGATGATGAGCTAAGTCATGTAAGTTTTGGGAGGAATCACTCTGCTTGCGAAAGGAAGTTCTTATTTGAGTGTTTCAGAGGTGAAGAAAAATGAATTCTGTCTTCTTGGCATGTATTGACCGGCAGGAGTTGCTTTGCTGGCCACTTTTTTCTTTTCTTTCTTTCTGGAGGAGCTTCTTATCCTAAGATTTACCAGTTCTGGTATGCCATTAGATTAGGCTTTTATAGGAGAGCAAACACCAGCATCCAGGAAAGGTATAATAGGAGTTTATTGGAAGTGGGAAAAGTCAGCCAGTTTTCAAACCTATTATTAAAAAACAAAACGGTCATTTATAAAGATTGTTCCATCTTTTACATGGTTCTCATTCCTAGCTGCCCTTTAGTGTCACCTGGGGAGCTTTTAAAAATTACTAAAGCCCAGTCTCCTTGCCTGTCCAATTGTATCCAAAATTTTTGTTAGCAGGGCCGTGGTATAATGTAATTTTTTAAGTTCCCCAGTGAGCCTGGGAGTTAACTTCCACCGTTAGAGAGCTGGAGGCTGTACTTTTCTGTAAAGGGCCAGATAGTAAATATTTTAGACTTTTGGGCCATATGGTCTCTGTTGCAACTGTTTGGCTGTGGTCTCAGATAATATGTAAATGAGCCCATGTGGCTGTGTTCCAATAAAACTGCATTTATGACAACAGATGACAGGGCTGACTTGGCCCCTGGCTGTACTTTGCCAATTCCTGTTCTTAAAGAATAAAATATATGGCGTGACTTCATATGGCTAATGTATTTTTTTCCATTTAAAGGAATTTGTCATGTTCCATCCTTTTACTTCAGTCCCTGAGAATGAAGAGGGTCAGAATCAACCCTCCTGGTGCTTCCTTCTGTTTTTGTCAGAACTGCTTTAGAGGGCATCAAGAATCAGTGGGAAGGAGGGTCTTTGTCCGGCTTGTGCACCCCTCCGCCCATGACTGACTCTTGAATCTACACACCCATCACACTTCCTGTGTCTGGAGAGTGACTCTGTGAAGTTGGGGGGCCCAGATACGGCCATTTTTTCCCTTCCCTCCACTTCTTCCAGGTTCCCAAACCTAATCTGAACACCTCCTCTAACACTCAGATCAAGAATGGTCAGCCCAGATGTATTAGGGTCTCAAAACAGAAATGCAGATGCCCCAGTCAGGTGGGAGCTGATGAAACACCCAAGGTCTGTTGTCCTCAGAAGCTGCTGTGCAGGCCTGTCACACAGCTGCCAAGGGAGTTCATGGTTTGGACACATTCTTGTATAGGGGGTCAACTGTGGCAGCTTTTTCATTTTTTCTTTTTGAGCTGATCATAGCTTTTCCCTCCTGCACCAGCCCAGCCCCGATAGGTGCTCAGAGATACTGATTGAGCATAAGGTCAGCTTGGGATTCATCTGTACCAAGAAACTTGTATAATTCTAAGTATAAATGATTGGGCATTATATTTATTATTGTGCTAATCTTTAGTGTAGATAATTAATAATGGGTTTTCTGCCTTTCTGCTTTTTGGGGACCTAAACTGGCGTCCTGCTGTTTCTTGAATTTAGCTTTCATAAATGCCCTCTGTCCTCCCCTCATCTTACTACTTTTCTTGGTGTTTGTTTCTCTGCAATCAAGAACTCACCTGTGAAATTAGAATTCTGGGGGATTCTTGATACCTTGGGTCATCAGAATTTGGGCACTTACAATTTCTAGTTTCCTTTTCTTATTTTGAGTTAGAAGGTGCTCCATTTCTTTGGAAATGCTGAAGTCCGCAGCCGCTGGCTCCTTGTGTGTTGAAGAGGAATCCCCAATAAACTCTGAATTGTGTTTGTCTTTTCCGTACTCCTTACCCTCTTCTGCTGCCTCACTGAAAAAAGCAAAACAGAAATAAACAGGCAAATAAAGATTCAGATCAAAACCCCCAGAGAACCATTTCCTATCTGAACCCATTGTGTTTTAATTTGAGAACCAGCAAGAACCTGCCTGTCACGTTGTGGATTGAATTGGGATACAAATTAGAATCTAGGAATGTTTATGCATGTTTAAGTCCTCCTTTTTTCTTTTTTCTTTTTTAGATAACGGCCCTTGTTTAGGCTCTCGGAAACCAGACAAACCCTACGAATGGCTTTCATACAAGCAGGTGGGTTTTCTGCTCTTGGGCACTACTCAGGCAGGCAGGTGGTGCAAGACAAGTTTTCATGTGTGGAGCCATTGAGTATTACAGTGGGAAGGTTTCTACAGAGTGTGTATGTTGGACCAGTTCAGAATTCTAGGATTAACATGCTGCATCCAAATGGAGATGATTCACATACAGATTTGGGGAAAATAAGTTAAACAATTTAACTGATGGCACAAAGCACTTTATTTTAGAATGTGGACACATTGTGGAGTAGAGTATAATTTTTGGATGAATATTGATACCTTATGATTAACTAAAGTCCATGGTTTACATTAGGGTTCACAACATGTTGTGCAGTCCTGTGTCTTTTGGCACATGCCGTGTTACTTATTCTCCATTGCAGTATCTGACAGTCCCACGTGCTCCACCTTACCCTCCCACCTCCTCCCGCCCCTCCCAACCCTGGCATCCACTGATCGTTTTATTGTCTCTGTAGTTGTGCCTTTTCCACAGTGTCATATAGTTGCTATCATATTATGCTTACCTAAAAAAATCTTTTTTGAGCAGTATAATTTTTAAGAAAAAATTCTAGAAATGTGTGTGAAACAGAAGACCCTTCTAGACCCCTCTGCCTCGAGGGGTACTAGAAAAATGTAGAGACCCCAATACAGAGTAACCCTCTCATTTTATAGATGAGGAAAACATGCCCCAGGAAGGGATGGGACTTGCCCAGGGTCACAGCTGGTTAGCAGCAGAACCAGGACCAGAGGTGAGGCCGTGCCCTCTGGTATCACACAGATCCTGGCCAACTTGGGACTGGTGTGACATTTAACGTCAGGGCAGCACAGAAGTCCTGGAAGATACCTGTGTCACTTATAAATGCAAAGGAAGCTGGGAGAAGGGGTATTTTTCACTCTCTCACCCTGTAGTGCCAGCTCAGCTGATCCATGGCTCCACTTGTTTAGAGAGCAGTTTGTGAATGGCAGGTAGCAGAGCAGAGAGACGTTGCTTTTCTTTTTCAGTGTTATCATCACGTAAGTCTAGATGGCCCTCCTGTAAGTGAAACCATCTGATATTTTTCTTTTTCCTTCTGACTTATTTCACTGAGCGTAGTTCCTTCTAGCTCCATCCATGTTGCTGCGAGTGGCATTCATTTATCTTTTTGATGGCTGAATAGTATTCTGTTGCATATATATGCCACATCTTCCTGGTCCAGCCATCTATTTTGGGGCCTTTGGGTTGTTTCCAGGTTTTACCTATTATAAATAGTGTTGCAATAAACCAGAGACATCCTGCAGGGGAGGGGAAGGGAGAGGGATCGGGAGGAGGGAGGGAGGAGCATAGGAGACTGTGGTGATGGTGCGAGGTGAATTGGTAAAGGAAATTCTATGGGGACTACACCTGAGGAAGAAGGAAAAAGCAAACATTGTAGATGGCCCTGCTTCTCCTCGGTCCAACTAGCACCCTGAGGACTTGCAGGAACAGCTGGAAGTGTGAGCTTTGCCGCCTTTTGTTTCCAGTGCAGCTGTCCAGGAAATAGCTCGCTGCTCTCGGGCCAGGTAACCCGTGCATTCATGACTACAAACGAACTTCCTTCTTCCATGTTTTGTAGGAAAGGCGCCTTTAGTAGTTGGTGTGTTCAGGGCTGTGCATGTGAAGGGGCCTGTCGTTAGCAAGCACAGTGTCACCCTCAGGAATAAGGAACACATGTGTCCTTCTCTCCCCTCACCTGCAGATCAACAAAATGCAAAAGGCCTTGCTTGGCTGTATATCTGGAGAAAGAACAAAGATGCACAACAGCTTTTCATACCTTGCTTGTAGGAGCAATGAGCTGTCACGCAGGTGACCAGAGGGATTTCGTTGTTTTTACTTTGCCTTCTCAGAGCCTGCTAGTTTCCCTTCCAAACAGTAGTTTCCAAGACCCCTTATTGTTACAAGTGGTGTAAAAGCACTTCATGTGTCTTGGGCATAGAACCTGGCAGGATGGTGATTAGGCCCCAAGTGCTGTCTGGATTAGCTCTCATGCATTCCTGCCACATGCTGTTACAGTAACACATCAGCACATATTCCTGTAATAGGTGTCTCCTTTGGCTGGAAGACAGAAGACATCCATTCCTGAGTGGATTTTTCAAAGCAGATTAAAAACCACTCAAGTGATTGATCTGTGAGCTCTACATTTCAGTCAGAGGCTGGGGGACATACACAGCTGGACTTAAGCCAACTCTGGATTTGTACATTTAAATCTTAATATTCATTAGCCCGTGAGTCTGACCTTTTGGGAGCTAGGAATCCCTTTGAGTGGCTTTGTAGAAAGGTGCGGCTCCTCTTTCTAGAGGTATAAAGGAAGCTCTGCAAACCCTGGCAGACTGTTTACAGGTTCTCCTCCCTTGAGAGAGAGAGAGAGAGAGAGAGAGAGAGAGAGAGAGAGAGAGAGAGAGAGCGCGAGCAAGCTGTGAAACCTTCTGTGGGGTACGCAAGTGGCGAGCATGCTAATGCTCTCCTTGCTGTCACCTCACCAGTGTCAGCTCTGACCCCCATAGGCTAGCCAAGGTATGGTGCTAGGAGCCGGAGCCAACAGGGTTCTGAGGCAGCAGTAGGTGTGGTTCTCTTTCCTTTGGGCTTGGGTGTGAATTAAAGGTGCTCTTGCGAGTTCATCAACTGAGAGTAAAGCAAAGTATTCCACATTTTAAGATAAAAAAATTTCTTTTTAGCTATAATTAGGGGATAGGAATGGAGAGAGCGTGGGGTGGGGGCAGTGTAAGTCCTGCCTAATTTTTATGAACCTATGTATTTTTCCTTAGTTGCAGTAATAGTGTGTTTTTGTACTTATTTTTGTGTTTGTTTTATTTAACCTTGTGGCAGATATCTGCTAAATTTGATGGTTCTCATAATTGTATATTTATTAGCTATGTAGCACTTTCTCAGATTTTCCATCATTTACTTAACCGACCAGCCACTGATGTTTTCCCCCCTTTTTGTGACTTCAGATAATTTTGAAATATAAATCTTTTTTTTACATAAAGTTTTTTCCCTGTTTTTTTGAGAACAGAAAAGGTGGATTTATCGAAATACCCTGCCTACATAAAGTTTTTTAAAACCTCCTTTTAAGACTGAATTATTTCCTAAGAATATATCTTCATGATTGGAATTGTAGATCCTAACGATAAGTGCTTCTTATTTTATTAAAACTCTCTCCAAAACTTTCTCTGTTTATACCAAATGACAAGTTTGGACTGCTTTGCTGCTCTTTAAAAATATTTTTTAAAACTCTCTGTTCCTGTATTACTGTCATAATTTTATAAAACTGAAGTGTAAAGTAGAAATATATAAGGAACCCCTGACATGTAATCATCTGTACCCCCAGCAGTTGGAGGGACTCATTTGCCCTGCAGACAGAACCCTGTGATCTCGTCTCTTAATTGTGAGTTCTGGTGCAAAAACCCTGTATTTCACCAGAATGTCTAAGAGGGGTGAACAACTCATTCTCGTTCACCTCTGTGCAGCGCTGCCTGCTGGCTGAATCGCCCGCCTCAGCTGTCACAGCAAGCCTGCTTCTTGGGTGGGGCCTGACGCTGTTTCTGATTTTTCCTCCCCATCTCAGGTGGAAGAATTGTCCCAATGTATAGGATCCGCGCTAATCCAGAAGGGCTTCAAGACTGCCCCAGATCAGTTCATCGGCATCTTTGCTCAAAACAGACCTGAGGTACTAACTGAGCACTGACTGCGCACAGTTCTGAGAGTCCTCAGATTAAGAGCTGATTGAAGTTCACACATATTTCTGCTTAAGACCAGATGTTCACCATGTGTCTTATCATTAACATAATCAAATAATATAAGTGAAATCCACTCAGATGAAACACATCCAACATTATTGTTTTAAAGGAATTTCATAATGAATCTATAGCTAGGACATATATTCCTCACTTCAAGGGGTAGGCTCCTTTGGATATTTTTGAGTTAGTACAAGTATTTATTGAGCACCTACTATGTGCTAGACTGTGAGATGCAAAATCACAGCAGAGACTTGAGTCCTCTTCATGAGGTGCCTCATGAGGGAAGGCAGACTTATAATCTTTCTCTGTCACATAATTAGTGTAAACACAGGGCAAAAGGATTATGGGAGCTCAATCAAGGAGGACTTCTTGGATGTGGCACCTGAGTGGACTCTTGAAGGAAATGAGTCTGGGATAGCCTAGGGAATGTCAAGAACAACCACCCTATTTGTGTCAAGCAGCACATCTGTTAGGGAATGAACCATTTCAATATGGTAGAGGTTAGAGTGGTGCAGGGAAAAAACAACCATTTGTGCCACCTATACCCTGCTAAGGGTCTACGATCTGAATCCCATGTTAGTAGCTTGAAATTGGCTCCAAGGGGGGGACAAAGGGAGAAAAAGTACTTCCTAGTCGGAGATGTGAGTGGGCTGTGCTCCCGTCCCACGGCAGCTCCGCCTTTATCTGTGCCATGTGTTAGACTCCTGCAGAGGATCTGAAAACTGCAGCTGGAGGTAATGGGTGCCAAGGAGGATGGTGAGTGGAAGAGTGATCTTGCCACATTTGCCTTTTAGGCAGATCAGTTGCTATGTGGCTGATGAGGCAAGATGATCCGTTACCACATCACGCCTCTCCATCACTTTTCAGGGGGGTTGTGCCAGCACAATTTCCTACAAGCTTGTTCCTCCTCCTCTCTTCCCAAATCTGTCTGCACACTGCTGCCAGATGGAGCTTCTTCCCACCCCCCACCTGCTACGCCTGTGCCTGGGACACAGAACCAGGCTCTTCGGTGGCCACAGGCTCACTCTAGCTCCTCTCTCGCCATGTCATTCCCCACACCCTGCTGGAACTTCTGTCCACTAGCTTGCTCACAGCCTCCTCCCTGCTCTTGCTCATGCAGTCCCGCTGTTGGAGCCACCTAGCCTTCTCTCTGTCCTTCCAAATCATGCTGCTCTTGAAAAGGGCTAGCTCACTTACCTCCCCGCTGGCCACTACTTGGACTCTGTATACAGTCCCCAAGTCAGTCACTACCTTGTATTTATCTTGTAATTATCTTTTCATATATTTGCATTAATTCTTCAGCCAATTGTACTTCCATTGAAGAAGAGGACTAGTGTTTTGTTCTCATTGTAAAGCCCTCATAGTGCCTGCACATAGTAGTTGATACACAAATATTAATCTCCCTATATCCCAGCTTTCCACTCTGAATCTGGCTGGACTATTGGTCTTCTTGGAGTGATTCCATGATGACATCCTGTTTTCTCTCCCCACCTCTCCTGTTTGTTTAGTGGGTGATCATTGAACAGGGATGTTTTGCCTTTTCAATGGTGGTCGTTCCTCTCTATGATACCCTTGGATCCGAAGCAATCACCTACGTAGTTAACAAAGGTACGTCTGTGATGTTTGGGTGGATATTGGCCTCGTTTTTAGTTAGATTTGGTGACTAAATTTACATTTGCTTAAATTTGACTTGTTTGGGATTTTATATTTAAGCGTATACCTTTTATTCAAGGATTGTAGTGCTTAAAACAGCCTGCTGGCAGATAAGGTCAAGTGTTTAATATCCCAACACTTATTTCTCATTGTCTCTCCTCATTTGCAGCTGAACTCTCTCTCGTTTTTGTCGATAAGCCAGGGAAGGCCATACTCTTACTAGAAGGGGTAGAAAATAAGTTAACACCAGGCCTTAAAATCATAGTTATCATGGACTCCTTCGGCAGTGATTTGTTTGAACGAGGCAAGAAGTGTGGGGTAGAAATCGTCAGCTTCAAGTCAATGGAGGTGAGTTCTTCTGCCCTGTCACTTCTCTGGAGGGTTTTCCCTAGGTCACTTCAGCTCAGATGTGGTATCCTGAGCCACCAACCTTCCAAACTCTGGCCGGCCAGGTCAATGACCCATGAAAGATATAGAGCAAAAATTCCTGTCTCACTACCTGAACAATAAATTCTATGCACATGCCCCAGTGTTAACTATCACATCTTGCAGAAACTGCTCTCAAAAAGGGAGTTACAAGGCTCACCTGTTTATTCTAGAGCACCAAGAAGCCATGACATCAAGGGCCAGGAACGTGATGTTCAGATTCATGTGATTCCAGCTGTGTGTTCTCTTTAGACGTGAATAGCTCTTCCTTCCTTTTTTTCCAAAATGGAACCAGATATAGAAATCTGCCTCATTGTTCTTTTCCCAGATGACTTCTATAGCATCCTAGTGAATTTCTAGCATCGATGTTTGATTTGGCTAATTTTCATATTAAATGTCTTGAGATTTGTATCAACCGCAACTATAAAGATAACTATGAGTGTGGTCCCTACTCACATCAGCGGTTTGATAGCAGATCACATACGAAGCTGATCTGTCCCAGTTGGACACAGACTAAAGTCTCAGTAAACAGAAGTTAGCAGGAGGAGGAGCCCATCACGTGCACATCATAGAAGTCATAGGCTGAGCAGCGTAAGTCATTCTCATTCTGAAAATGTTAGAAATATTTTCCTGGAACTATTATAAATAGAGTTTTAAAATTTATTTATAGTTCTCCTTCTACAAAGAATTTGAGGCTCCAAGTAAGGATCTATAAAACTCTTCCTGGGAAACTTGGTGGCAGAGGAAAAACACCTTTTGTTTTAATAGTTAAACCTGCCTTGTGTACACACTCTCATGTTCACATGCCTGTGCCCCCATGTACACACACATGTATATGGAGCATAGGATAGGATTCCTTAAGAGCTCATTAGTGTGCTCCAATCTTAAATTGCATTTTTAGCTAGCTTTTTTTTTAATTTTAATCTCTTTTTTTTTTTTTTTTATTGTGGGACCCTCGCCGGCGCTGTAAATGTATTTTCTCCTCGACAATTTTCTTTTCTCTAGCTTTATTGTAAGAATGAAATAACTAAGGAATATATGATGCACAAAATATTTGTTGATCAACTGTTTACATTATTGGTAAGGCTTCCCATCAACAGCAGGCTATTAGTAGTTAAGTTTGGGGGAAGGCGAAACTTAAGTGTGATTTTTTTTGGCTGAGGTGGAGAGAAGAGGTTTAGTACCCCTAACCTCCACATTGTTCAAGGGTCAAGTATAATTTAAAAATTATTTGGATGAGTAAATGACTGAAGAGTGTTAAAGCTTTTACTAAAGTCTTTATGTATGAATGGCATTGTGAATTCATATTTAACTTGCCTGTTTAATATGATTCGTACTTGGTTTTAAAAAAATTTATAAGCAGAAGATAAAACTTTTAAGAAATGAACCTAAATTAGTTTCCCAGGGCCTCCCTGGTGGCGCAGCGGTTGAGCGCTGGGTTGCGAAGCTGCCCGCAGCCTCTGCAGCATCGGTTCGATCCCCGGCTGCTCCCCGGCCACCGGAGGAGGGTCCCACATGGCGCGCAGACCTCTCCTGCCGCCCGCTGCTCCCCTCAGCAGTGTACATTGGTCCTTCTGCCTGTTCTGCTCCCTGCTTTGGCTCTGGTGAATTCTCTCACCCTCCCGCGCTTCTGACTGTGCCCAGTGCTTGTATGAATGAATAAATAAATCTTCACAAAATAAATAAATAAATAAATAAATAAATGAAATAAATTAGCTTCCCAGTTGATCATGTGATCATGTTTATATTACTGTACATTTTTATAGGCTTGAAAGTAGAAACATTGGTATCTGGAATTTTTGCATTTTTCCCAGCATTATGAAAATTTTCAAAAATGCAAATCTGTTGAAAGACTTGTACAATTGACTGCTTTATACCTGCCAAGAGTCTGCAGCAAAGCTCTAAATATATTTGCAGAAATGAGTCTGTCATTCTTTACCTTCACATTCATTCAAAAAGTGGCTTAGATTTTTCTGTTGTAGCCAGTAGGAGGTTCCAAAATCCCCAGTCCTGCTCCATGTGGGGAGTACAAGTAGTTGAGCTCTCCAAAATGTAGTTAGCATTTAAATCTGGCAGAGATTAATTTTTCTCCTCAAATTGAAGACATCAGTTATGCAGAATTGGGAGACCTGACAGCAGATCTGTGTCTGAGTCTGGGAAGCGTAAAGAGCACCCACAGTTCTTTGGTTATGATTACGAACGAGGCTTTGTTAAAGGAAAAGAAATGGGGACAAGAAATACAAGAAAAAAAAAAAAACACCCTATTTCAAAGGCTACAGGCCACAGGTACACAAAGAAGTTGAGCATCACTAATCAGAGAAATGCAAATCAAAACCACAGTGAGATACCACCTCCCACTGATTAGAATTGCTGGTATCAAAAAATAAATAAATAAAATAACTAGTATTGGAGAGAATGTGGAGAAAAGGGAGACCTTGTATGCTCTTGGTGGGAATGAAATTCCCGTTACTCCCAAATTAAATGTAAATGTGGCCACTAAGAAAAACAGATCAGAGACTCCTCAAAAAGTTAAAAAATTAAAAAAAAATGTTAAAGTTAATAAATAGAACTACCATGTGATCCAGCAAAAATGAAAACATTACCTTAAAAAGATACCTGCACCTCCACGTTCTTTGCCGTATTATTTACAATAGTCAGGGAAGGGAAACAGCCCAAGTGTCCACTGATGGATGACTAGGTTAAGAAATGCGTATGCGCGCACACACACACACACACACACACACACACAGAATATTACTCAGCCATAAAGAATAATGAAATTTTGCCAGTTGTGGCAACATGGATAGACCTTAAGGGCATTATTCTAAATGAAATAAGTCAGAAGGAGACAAACACCATATGATCTCAAGGGGCAGTTGCTATACCATTTATAAAGGTGTACATAAGAAAGAAGACAACTGGAAACTGACTTCTTAGAATAATGGATAAATTTCTTGATTCAGGATAACTCAGAATGCCGTAGTTTGTTTAATTTGAAGTTTAAGTTGCCTTTGAACCAGCTGACAGTGAATCCTGCAGTAAAGTTACCTTTGAATGACTTAATATGACCTTATTCTTTACATTTAGAAAATGTTTGCATTTAAACTTTTCTTTTCTTTTTTAATTAAGGACCTGGGAAGAGTCAACAGACGGACTCCTAAGGTAAGGACACCATGTCAGACCTCACCGTAACCCTCCATGCAGTCTCTACTATCAAGTAATTTTGGAGACTAGTAGAAATCTTGGGTGATCTCTTATGGCTCATAGTTTTCTAATTTATAACACCCACCTTTTTTTTTTTTTTTAATTGCTATAGCCTCCAGCACCTGAGGATCTTGCAGTAATTTGTTTCACAAGTGGAACTACAGGTATGTTTTGAAAAGTAATTGCTTCTAAGTGGTATCTGGAAGTGTGTCCTCTCTGCTCTCTTTCTGGGTGACTGATTTAAACTAAAGACAGCCTGAAAGTGGAAGAGAGGGAAGCAGTTCAAGGCATGTGCTCTTGTTGCTCTACAAGACCATCTTAGAATTCGAGAGCACCACATGCTTCTCAAACATTTATTGAAGGTGACATCACCCATCTTCCATGTATAAACTATATCAGTGGCTTTGAGAAATCAACGTCCTGTTTTTTTCTCTTCTTGCTCCACTCACCCTCTGAAACTTGCCCATATTAATGAAGATTGTTTAAGATTATGAGTTTCATTTAAAGAATTGCAGTTTGCTCAGGAACTTAATGTTACTCAACATTTGACTTGCATGGGTGTACCTTACTGTAGAGGTATTTGAGGCCCTAATTATAGGGTTTCTGGGCTTCCTTAATGTCTCTCATTCTTGGATTCAGTTTCTGTAAAGTAAGTCCTCATTTAATGTTGTCGTTAGGTTCTTGGAAGCTCTGACTTTAAGCATAAACAATATGCACCAAAGTCAGGTCCTCCAAAAATGTTGTTTCATGCATGTCGACCAAGATTCTTCTCATCAGTGTTATAACAAAACCACTTTGAACAAAATAACATTGCTCAAGGAGCAGCTGGCCTCTAACCTTATCCTGGTTCCTGTGTGTTCTTCAGGTAACCCCAAAGGAGCACTGATCACTCATCGAAATGTAATAAGTGATTGTTCAGCTTTTGTGAAAGTGACAGAGGTAAACTTTTGGGACATTGTCATCTTTATTTAGATACCTGTGTTGGCATTAGGCCTCAGGCATGAAAGTAGTAAAGGCAGCACTGCCCTGCTGGGGGTGTGTGTGTGTGTGCTGTAATTGGAACACAATCTGAAATATGGATAAGATCTGAACTTTAAAATGGGCTAACATCACCTTCTCTCAAGCAGTTTACATTGTGGACCTAGTCTCCAACTACTGTTTATGACCTTCAGGGTAAATTGAGTTTATTGCAACTTTTATTGCAGGTAACTTTATTTAGATACTATCCTATAAATGTTTCCAGGAGAGAACAGAGAAGAAATGCCTTAGTCTACTGTTTCAGCCTAGAATCATTTCTTTAAGTTGACAACAAAATATTGAATGCTGTTGAAGGCTTTTGAATTATTATTATTCTTCATGGTGGTCAGTTTGAGTTCCATTTTATAAGCAGGATTAAAACTTTGAACTTCAGTTGCTTTCCTATAATCTTAAGCAATCATATTCAATAACTGCTTTTGAAAAGAGGTACTTATTAAATAATAAAATGTCTTTCCCTCAGACTGTTTCCACATTTTCCATAATTTGCTTTTGCAGTTTCTTGGGAATATTCTGGAGCCCTAATTTTTGTGGCAGGAGTCTGTGCTTAATGGTTTTGGGGAATGGGGATCTTTGGTGGGTACAGAAGGTTAATTTCCCTTTCACTTACATTCCTACTTTCTTAGTCCCAAAAACCTTTTTTCGGTGTATGCTTTCTAAACAGTGTTCAACATTCAGTACCTACTAAAGTGAAATTTTAATTTCCTTATCGACCTTTAATAAAAACTGAAAATGCATTAGTGGCTCATGAGACCTTAAGAATGATTTGCTAATGGTTACAAAACTGTGTTTTAAATTACCAATCAGGGACATTCTCAGCTATGTAAAATATCTGTCATGCTGATGGACCTTTTTTTTGGCTGAATCAGAAAATTGAAAGTGTAGATATCACTGAGTTTGATTTCTCATAAAAATATACTAAGAAATGCTAGTTGGTAAATGCAGGTCACATTTGCCAAGACGATGGCCTGCTGCACCAGGATGACATGCTCTGGGGCTGTTGTGTTTGCTCAGGACTGGAGCTTTTACCTATTATCACATTATTGGGATATAATGGAGAGGGGAAGGACTTGCTTCAGAAGGGGGTACAGGCAAAAATTCTTTACGTGAGTAATGTGAACATTTCATGCAAACCCGCCCCCCACTGTGCCTGGACCTAAGTGAAGCCCATTCTGAACCATGAAATGGAAACCAGCTGTCAGACTCACACTAGGTGCAGAGCTATCGTGATCAGCATTTTATAGGAGTGCAAATCCCCTGTGCTGGGTCAGAGCTAACTTTAAATAAATGGAGCTAAATTATTCACCCACTGAGGTAAAGTTGGGGTTTAAGATAAAAATATTGATCAAACTAAAACACACAAGATGCATTTATGCTATAGATAAAAGAAACTTGGAAATCTACCTTTTTTCCTCTTTTCCTTTTACAATATAATATGCTATCTTGTGTTGGAATGGCTCCTATATTGCTACAACATAATGTGCTATCTTATGTTGGAAAAAAATTTGTATGTCTTACCTTAAGGTGGAACTGAGCTTGCTGGGTAGTGGGTACTACAGCTTTGAAATACAAAGTTATTAGAGCACATAATCCCTTAATATCCTAATTTGAGAAAAATTTCCTTATTTTGACTGAAGTCCTGCAATGGAGTTACTCTGTCATTAGAAATGACCTCTATTTCAAAAATTAAAGTATTAAAATATTTCAATATTTCTGGATTGCCTTTCATTCTTTGGTGAGACATAATTGCAGATGATAAGCAAAAGCTGTTTGACCTTCATGTTGAGGTATTATGTGCTCTCAGATAAAATGCAAAGTGACTGGAAATCTTAATGCCTTTCTGCTCTGCTGGTGTCTTTGCTTACAGAACGCAGTCAGTCCTTCCCCAGATGATACTTTGATATCTTTCTTGCCTCTGGCCCATATGTTTGAGAGAGTTGTAGAGGTAGGCATTGAGTTTTGTTTTTCTTGCTTGTTTGTTTGTGTTCTGCTAAGTTGTTGTGTTTTACAGAAAGTACTTGCCCTGAATGCCAGTGACACACACATTTCATTTTTGCCACTGGCACACATGTTTGAGCAGCTCATGCAGGTACGTTTCACACACGGACTGTCATCCCCATGGAAGATTCTTTGCTTGTTCCTAATGGTATTAATTACTTAAAAGAGTAATGGTACTAATTACTTAAAAGAATATAGTTATTTGGGTTTTTTTCCTGGGTCTGGATACTTGAATTTTAATAACTTCAAAATTATAAGCCCACATTTTTGAAGGCCACTAATGTGGACATGATTCCAGAAAGATTAAATGTAAAAGGAGAATTTTTATGACTACCATCCTACAAAACCTAATAAGACTTCTGCTCTAAGAAGTTTCTCTTCTTTTTTAATGGAGGTAGCAGTCATTTACAACACTCCTTAAATTTCAGTGTACAGCTTCACACCTCGACAGTTGGCTATCCCTGGGAAGTTTGTATTTTCCTTTGTGCTTGCTCCTGAGGCACTCGTTGGCTCAAGACTAATCTTTTCACCGGTATTCTAAGAGCTCTCAGAAGAGCAGAATGATCTTTAGCTGATCAGTATATTACTGTGTGACTAATTTAAAAACTGACTGAGCACTTTCTTTTTTCGTTCTTGGGCAAGTTGGGACTGTATACTTACAGGATAAAAAGCAGGCTCGATTCAGCCAGTTAACAGGTGTTTGCTGCACACCAGCTGTGTAACAGGCACTGTGCTGGGTGTGAGAAGGACAGGTGACTAATAGGGAGCCTTCCCTGTGATTGGCTGCTGCCCTATGGGATTCCTTATCCTAAAGAATTAAGACTCATTAGATTCCATTTTCTATCCATTACCTGTGCTTTTTGCACACCTCAGGAGATCTCTTGAGTTTATAAAGTGATCTCATGTACCAAATGGTGGTTTGTAAATTGTGCCTGGGAAGCAAGCCATTGAACAAAAACCTTCTAAGTTTTTGTTTTTAAACAATGAGCAGTGGATACCTTCAAGCCTGGGACCATCTATACTTCTGTTTTCATCGTGCTTTGAATCTCTCCTCTTTAAAATTTAAAATAGGCAGACTGTCACTTGTCTGTGGTTTGCCAGTGCAGTTTGCACTTGACAGGAAAATCGATGTTGTAGATTATAGCTGGATGGCAGGCCGCTCTGGTATTAGACCCCCAGTATCTCCACTGCATCCTGTTCAGTGGGTTTTCAGAAATCTTTAGTTAGATTCAAATAAAGGAAAAATTAAACTTAAATAAGCTAGGATTGTAGGGAAGTAGCTCAGTTTTTGTTTTCAGTGTAAATTAGATCTAAAGTTTCTGATAGGCGAAAAACATTTGGTTTATATAATACTATGTCATTCATTCAATGGTTATTTATCTTGACACTAAAATAGCAGAACCTCTGAGATTATCATTAAAAACAATATTCCCAAGTTTATTTCTAAGCCCTTTATCTTCCGGTGATCAAGAAAAAAATCCTCATTCCCAAGTTGCATGATGACCAAAGAATGCAAAAGTGTTTTTCAAAAAAATGACCCATATTTAGGAAATTTAATGTTTTTAGAAACTGGCTGAAATGCTAAACCTAAAGCCTCATGTGTGTGTTTGGATATTGTGTGACCCCTGCTGTGATGATAAAAATGTTGGTTACTTCCCTCCCTAGTGTGTAATGCTGTGTCATGGAGCTAAAATAGGATTTTTCCAAGGAGATATCAGGCTGCTAATGGATGACCTCAAGGTGCTTCAACCCACTGTCTTTCCTGTGGTCCCGAGACTGCTCAACCGGATGTTTGACCGAGTAAGTTCCAGGCCCGAAGGCCACTGAGCTTTGAGTCCGAGACGTGGGTTTGAACAAGGCTCAGCCACGTGCCTTCTGTGCACCGTGGGTACAAGTTCAGTCTTGCAGAACTGCCCTTCACTCACCTGTAAAGTTAGGATAAGTTCACCTCACAGAGCTGTTGGTGAAGATTATGAAACACACACGATCACACTTTGTAAACCATAAGGTATAATACGGGTATAAAATGGAAGCTTATTTCATTTTTATTTTACAACAACCTCTTTGAACCTCTGTTTTCTCATCTCTATGTGGACAATCGCCCCCTCCTCCTGTTTTCTGTCTCCTAAAGTTGCAAATTGCATCACATGAAAAGAGTAACTCTGAAATGGTTTCACTAATTGTAAAGCTCCTTGCACATATAAAATATTGCTTACACACTTAGAAGCGACTAAGCCACGTAGAGAATGCCTGCTCGCCATGGTGCCCCACAGCTAGGGTCAGATGGGGTGGGTGTGAGGGGTCTCCAAATGTGTTTGGGCACTTGTAATGCTCCTTATTTTAAGGCAGGGCATCTGTCATCTGTGAGAGTCTTTTTATTTTTTTAATGACGCTTTAAAAAAACTTTAAAAACAGGTTTGTTCACATACTAGGCATTTCACCCATTTAAATGATACAATTCAAAGTTCTTAGTAGATTCACAGTTTTACACTCATCACCACAGTTCATTTTGGGACACTTTATCACCTCAAAAAGAAACCCTTTATCTGCCCTTTAGCGCTCATTCTCCGCTCCCTCTCTGCCACACCCCATCCACCACTCAGCAAAAACTAACCTACTTTCTGAATCTATAAATCTTCTGATTCTGGACTTTCACGTACATGGGATCATGCAGCATGTGTTCTTGTGTGACTGATTTCTTTCACTTAGTGTGTTTTCAAGATACATTCATGTCCTAGTATGTATCTGAACTTCCAAAAAAAAAAGTTACACTCTATAGATGTCACCCGTTTTATTTGTTTATTTATCCATTGATGGACATTTGAGTTGTTTCCACTTTGGGGACAACTATGAACATCCTCATACAGGTTTCTGTGTGAGCATGTGTGTCCATTTCTCTTGGGTCCCGCTCAGCAGTGGATTGTTGGGTCAGGTGGTAACTGCTTTTAGCTGCTGGAGGAGCTTCCGGCCTGTTTTCTAAACCATCTGTACCATTTTACGCGCCCCCCACTTCCCCCACCCAGCAGTATATGAGGCTGCCACCTTTACCAGTTGTTATATTACCTGACTTTTAGCCATCCTGCTGGGTCTGAAGCCTTCTTATTTATTGACTTTTTAGATTTTCTCACAAGCAAACACCAAACTGAAGCGATGGCTTTTGGACTTTGCCTCCAAGAGAAAGGAAGCAGAGCTACGCAGTGGCATCATTAGAAACAACAGCCTATGGGATAAACTCATCTTTCACAAAATACAGGTAACCATAGACTCATACTATTATTTCTCATGTAAACTAATATGGGCTTTGAGTTCCTATGAAAGCTTTTTTTTTTTTTTATAAGAAAGATGTGAAGGTGAGGGAGAGAATGTACATTTTTACTAATGCTGACACACTTCTAGAAGTCAAGGACAAAACTATTAGTATTCAAGATAAATCTGAACAATAGCTAACTATTTAGGGGGTTGGGGAGGAATCAGGGTATTACAGCCTTTCTGGTTCTCCATTTTGTTACACTTTTCTAGATCAAGTTTGTCACTCTTTTTTTTTTTAAAAAAGATTTATTTATGCATACAAGAACTGGGGTGTGGCCCAAAGGTACAGGGTGGTGAAAGAATTCACCAGAGACAGAGTGGGGAACAGAACAGAATAGATTGACTGAAATACACTGCTGAGGGGAGCAGCGGGAGAGATAAGAGAGGCCTGCTGCGCCATGTGGGTCACCTTCCTGGAGGGGGATCGAACTCATGCTGCAATGGCTGTGGATAGCTTCATAGTTCTGTGACTTAACCCCTTGCACCACCAGGGAGACCCAAGGTTGTCACTCTTGAAGTAAGTTTTTAGGCATGAGTGGTAAAGCATAAATGATAATTTGTCCAAAAAAATGCCAGAAGTGTGGTGGTTGCAAATCTTGTTCGAATTCCTTAAAATATGATGAGTTCTGGGTGTTGGCTTGCATCTCCCTCCCTGTTGAAAGCAGATGGTGGGTGGGTATGGTAGCATACATCTGAAGAGGGAGGAACCTGCATTTCCGGATCATATGCAGTGTTGTAAACCAATGTTACCCTAATTTTAGAAAATTTAAAAAAAAAAGTGAGTGGAGTAGTTTCAGGTGGAAACACGCTGGCAGGAGTCTTTCCTGAGTCAGAGTCAGTGAGTTCTTTGCCATCTGCTGAGGGTTAGCTGGTGGCTCCGGGCACAGATATCTGTGAGGTGCCTACCTCCTGCAGTTGTCTGACCCCACTGTCTCTCCTCTTCTGTCTCTCAGTCGAGCATGGGAGGAAAAGTCAGGTTGATGATCACAGGAGCTGCTCCCGTGTCCGCCACCGTGCTCACCTTCCTGAGAACTGCCCTTGGCTGTCAGGTGAGGTGGCTTCGCTGTGGCTCTTCTCTGGACCTTGTCATGCCCAGGAATCTTTTTTCCAAAAGTCATTTTTATTCTCTTTGTATGCATTTTATTTTTGCTTGCAGGATTCTCTGTTTTCTAAATCACTTGAGAAATAAGTATAAGTGTGTGTGTGTGTGTGTGTGTGTGTGTGTATGCTTATATTTCATATAAAAGATACAGCTTAATGGGTTTCATATAAAATGACATGTCTATATGTCTTTTACCCTTCAGCAGGAGAATAGGTGTTTGTGACCACTGCTCTAACACAAAACATGCCTTCCAGGTGAGGCATGGGGGTATGGGAATGGATCACAGGGATAAGCCAACCTGCACACCAGGCAGAGAGAGAGAGAACCTGTTTTCAAGGGGGACATCGAGGACGCGGGCTGAGAGCGAGAGCCCCGCCTGGGTGCATCCTATAGCCAGGCCCATCCTGCCCCGTCGGGGTTCTCCCTTGCTTGTCTCCAGGAAGTGAAGTAGAAAATGAACACACACCATGCTGGTGTTCAGTAGGAGGGCGGAGGTGTTTGGGTGCTGTGAGGATGCTTGTTGTAGAATTAAGCTGGAAAAGAGGTTTCACAGCCAGCCACGGTGCAGGAGCCAGAGGAACGTAACTGCTCCAGCGCACGTGTGACTTTCTCCCTTTGTTGTTGTTTGTTCTCTTGGTGACCCAGTTTTATGAAGGCTATGGACAGACGGAGTGCACTGCGGGCTGCTCCCTGACCTTGCCCGGAGACTGGACAGCAGGTACGACACGCCGTGTGTTCACTCCTCATCGCGGTCTTCAGGTTTGAAGTGGAATTGGGTTAATCGTTGGTTGGTTCATTGACCAATGGAAACAAGTGTTGGGTCTCCAGTGATCAGGCCTGGAGGCCGCTGACCCTGTAAATCCAAGAGCCACGTGGAGCACGTCTCCTCTGGCAGAGGGATGTAATTTTGAGGATCTGACTGTAGATCTGGGTGGCCACAGAGATTTACCCAGATCCTGAAGGTGACATCTGAGAGTGGATGCCCTTTAAACCAGGCTCAGAATGTTTGGCCCAACAGAGTTCTCCAGTAATCCACTGGGGTCTGATTTTCTGCTGGCAAATTGTGGTTAAACTCGCACTGTGTGACGACAGAGAGAAATGAACCCAAGTCCTTTTTCCCCAAAAGAAAAAAGGGGGAGGACAAACAAATAATTGACTGTCACGGATGAGATTCTACATTAGGTGCTTAAGACGTGGATAACGTATCTCATCCCCGCTACGTCCCTGTGAGACGAGCTGTTGCCTTGTGGAGGAAACGATCAATTGTTGGTTAAATAGCACGTAAATAATGTATAAGGGTTTACTCAGCACTGTGCTTGTCGCCAGGGTTCTGCCCCGTCTCTCTGCGGAGTTCTGTGCTTTCCTCACTCCTGCACCAGTGGGATCGTCCACACTATGCTAAATAAACCTCCCCGCCTCACCTGCTGTGTTGTAAATGGGGGCACTAGCTAGTAGCTCACTCTGCTGGGATTGGCCCCAGCAGGCTATGAACCTTCCTCATGGTGTTTGTTTAATCTTTCGCCCTTGGATCCTCACCATCTAGAGAATTTGGAATAGTGATCTCGTTAAGCTAAAGCTGTGAACACATGGGAAGAATTATGTGCATTGCTCTTAAGACATAACTAATTGCTGTTATTTTTGTTTTTGAAAAAGAACCTAATCCTCACACCACACCCTTCGGCAGGAGGATTAACTGGAAAGAAGCACTGTACTAGCTTAATAAACTTAAATACTGATCAGAATCAGATGGTGTGTGAGAGCATAATTAAAGTTTACAAAAGTCATAGAAGTTTTGTCTTCTTATAGAGAACAGGGACATTTAAAAATCTTGGGGTGGCAGGGAGGGTGGCAAGTCCTGGACAGGGGCTGTTGATTCTTGGAGCCTGGTAAGAGCTCCAGAAGGCTTGTTTCCTGGTTCCTTAAGATCAGCCGCCAAATTACTTATACTCTGAAAAATCATTTGGCTCATCAAATTAGGGGAGATCCCTAAAAGATGGTTGAATATGTTTGTCTCTATTCTAGGAATAAACTCCCTAAATTAATTTACCAGGGGAGATGGGCTATCATTATGGAAGCCAGAGGTTGGCACCGGCTGTTCTTATGATGAACAGGCTTGCATGTTATAATAAAAATAATTTGGCCTAGGAATATTCGTAACCCCCTTAAAAATGTTCCATCTTTTATTTACTCACAGGTCACGTTGGCAGCCCTATGCCTTGCAATTTTATAAAACTTGTTGATGTGGAAGAAATGAATTACATGGCGGCCAAGGGGGAGGGGGAGGTGAGTAAAGCCCCATGAGTGTCCACCCTCACTGCCTTTCCGCTAGCTCAGTGCTATTCTCCAGCCCCGCCATGGGAAGCCATTGAGTTTGATTTTGTTGGTGATCCTAGAGCCCAGCTGTGCTCTCTGTGAAGGTGCATTTCTGTTTAGCAATCAGGGTCATGTAGAGGAGGGCGCAAATGCCGGCTGCTTCTGCCAGACATTCCAGGGACTGGGGCCCAAGAGCATGCAGAGGCTCCAGTGGCCTCAGTGCTGGGACACAACTCCTGCCTGCTAATTGCCCTGGATGCCTATTAGTGAGCTACTGGCTAGTGGAAGAAAGCCTAATGACTTCAAAGTGATTTCAGTCCCTTTGGGGCTTTCTGCAGCCTGGGGCCAGAACCCAGGGCAGGCACTAGTCGTACAACTCAACTGCAGCTGAGGTCATTAATAATGGGAAGTGGGGCATTGGAGGTGCCTTCTGGATCCCACTGAGCCCCACCAGCGCCCTGTGGATCATGGAAACCGGGGCTTCTAGCAAAAGGTTGGGATATGCATGTTTTCTTTGGCAGAGCCCTGTAGTGCTGTTAAGAGATCATCTTTCTTCCTTCAGGTGTGTGTGAAAGGGCCAAATGTATTTCAAGGCTACTTGAAGGACCCAGCAAAGACAGCAGAAGCTCTGGATAAAGATGGCTGGCTACACACCGGGGACATAGGAAAATGGTTACCAGTGAGTGGTCACCTCCTCTGTGCAAAAACCCCTTGCTCCACTGCAGGGAAGAAAATAAGATGTTTGCTGCCCTGTGGGGTGGTACCCTCACTTCTCTCTTTCCCTTTCTCCTTGTGGAGTAGCAGATGCAGGCACTTCCATTTTCTGCAGGGATCAGATTTACACTCCTCACATACTTGTTGCTGATTGTCACTTAAACTACAGTAAATCTGGTGTGTTCTGATGCTTGACATCAATTCTGGTTGCTCTTCCTATTTGAATTGCTGGGAGACTGGCTTTTTCATCTTGATGCAGGCCTTGATGGAGAGGCCTTAGGTTCAGCAAGGGTGGGGGCAGTGTGGAAAGTGGCCAGACATTGGATGGGCACGAATTTGTGAATACATCTGTTTCTTTGGTTTATAATCTCATTAAGAATAAGGTAAGTGTTCCATGGATAAAACCAGCTTCTTTAAATTTAGTCACAGAAGCCTGGACTGTAGAGAAATTCCAGAGTCGTCTTAGGAGTGAGAAGCTTATGCCAAAAGCCCCAGCTGTCCTGCCAGTAGGTCTGACCACTTGGCCTGCTGTGGTAACAACCACTACTTTTCCTAAGTCGTTACCGTGTTTCATTGCAAGCACTAAAATTTCTCGGGTGGTTTTTATTGTTGTGTATTTTCAGTTTCTTGTGGATTGAAGATGCTTGATAGTGTGAAATTTTTATTGATTTGAAAAGTGCTTCTCCAAATTAATTCAGATTTCAGAATACCCAAGCTATTTCATAATAAAACCCCCCTCCCCCCAACAGGTTCAAGAGGGATTCTCAGTTCTGATTCTGATAAACACATCTCAGAGTCTCGGGATGTCCATCTGTGCCTCTTGAAAATGGAAGTGAACTGACATGAAATGAAAGAGCCTTGGGAACTTCCCAGCATCTGACTTTTGAAAATTAAAGAGGGACCCAGGGTGTGGGGATGGGTAGAAAACTGGGTGGGGATTTTAGTTACTATTGGCATCTGGCTGGTCTGATCCAGGAATGCCAGCATCCCTCAGTTATTATGTGTGTGTGTGTGTGGGGGGGGGGGCATTTGTGGGCAGCCAATCCTGAGCAAAGGACCAAAGCACCCTCCTCTCAACAAGCTAGACGTCTAGGAGGCTAGAAGTCTGCCCTTCTGTAGCGAACATTCACTGAGCCCTTGCTCTGTGCAGAGCTCTGAGGGAGGATCAGTCTGTGTCTGCTGTCAAGGAACTCGAATCCTTTGGAGACAGTAATGTCTGTAGGACATTCAGATAGGAAACTCCCTGAAGCTTGCTAAGCTGAAGGCAGCAAGCCCAGTGCTGCTGGCTGATTGATAAAGAGTAAAGTGAACTCCCATGGCTCTCGAGTCTCTTCCCACGCTCTACTCCAACAAGTCACTTAATCTCTCCAAGTCTTTGTTTCCCTCTCTGTCAAGTGGGATATAATAACCAACCCCTGTGACATGTACAAGGCTTAAATGATGGTGCAGAGAAATTGCCCTGGATCTGTGTGAGTGTACTGGGTGGCACAGCCATGGGCCAATCCACAGCCCCACCCCTCTGATCAACAGAATGGCACTTTGAAGATTATCGACAGGAAAAAGCACATATTTAAACTGGCACAAGGAGAATACATAGCACCTGAAAAGATTGAAAATATCTACCAGCGAAGTGAACCTGTTGCTCAGGTGTTTGTCCATGGAGACAGCTTGCAGGTACGTGCTGTGTGAGTTGCAGATGTGACCGGGGATATTAGTGGAGCATTGTTAGGTTCTGCTCCTTGGCACTTCTTGCCAGAAAGTTTTTTTTCTTTAATTTCCATATTTTTATTTTACCTTGAGTAGTCTGGTACAAAGGGAAATTGGATAAAAATAGTGGGCAGTGGGTAAAATATGCTAATTTAAATATAAGGGGAAGTACTGCTGTCTGGATTATAAGAGTTTGACGTTTTCAAACATATTAAATCCAACTTATATGCTATGCCTCCTAAATCATTCTGAGCAAATGGTGGTTGTGAGCCAAATGTACTTTAAGTTGAAGACCAAAGTCAAAACTGCAATGAAACATCTATTTGTCAAAATATGGGACAGATGGTAGCAATGCAGAGAAGGAGTCTGGTTTTCTAGAAGTTATTGACAAATATTATAATTTTAGAAGGTTATTTTTTATTTCATAAGAGTACATCTGTTTTTCCTTGATCTAGAATCTTGCCATCACTTTAATTTTATTTACTTTTTTTCCTCTTGATAAATAAATGTGAAAAATGAATTCAGTTTTATGGTTACTAACTTGTAGAATGAGGTATTAGAGATTTTTTTTAATGAATCTGTAAATTTTCTTTTTTTAAGGCACTTATCTGATACTTATCACCTTATATGGTTATTTAACCCTGTTTTATAAGATAAAAGTATACATAAAGTAAATAAAAATCAGGGTTTTGTTTATATTTTGTTGACTTCCAGTGGTTCTCTAAAGACATTTATTGCAAAATACTGGATACTGTTTGTTTTATAGCCAGTTCTCAACCTGAACTCAGGCACCTTTGAAAGCTGGTAACATTTTCTGAAGAGAGTCTAAAACTCTCATGAGATTCTCCCAGGGGTCTATGGTATAGAATCATAATCGCTATTTTAGTGCATCTGGATCAAACCATATCGTAACTCACTTGTCTGTGTTAAAGGCGTTTCTTATAGCCATTGTGGTGCCAGAGGTTGAGACATTACGTACTTGGGCACAAAAGAAAGGATTTAATGGGGCCTTTGAAGAACTGTGCAGAAACAAGGTAAGGCGGGGAGATCTGCAGCCTGTCCCGTATCTTCACATCAGGTGCATTAGGTGTACCTGCAGCTGCCTCCGACAGTGGAAACAGCTCATTTTTCTTGCCTTATTAGGATGTCGTAAAAGCTATCTTAGAAGACTTAGTGAAACTTGGAAAAGAAGCTGGCCTAAAATCATTTGAACAGGTAAGATTCATCAAAGTACGTGAATTCCTATAAAAGACTTGAAGATTTTTTTTATGAATGGGTTTTCCAGATGATGAGATACGTGAAGAAGGGATTTTTTATTTATTTATTTTTTTTTAATTTTTTTTTTTTATAGAGGCATGTTTTTATTTATTTATTTGTTTGTTTGTTTGTTTGTTTTGTTTTGTTTATACATGCACTGGGTACAGTCAGAAGTGCGGGAGGGTGAGAGAATTCACCAGAGCCAGAGCGGGAGGCAGAGCAGGCAGAAGGACCGAAGGACACTGCTGAGGGGAGCAGTGGGCGGCAGGAGAGGTCTGCGCGCCATGTGGGACCCTCCTCCGGTGGCCGGGAGCAACTGGGGATCGAACTGGCGCCGCAGAGGCCACGGGCAGCTTCGCAACCCAGCACTCAACCGCTGCGCCACTGGGGAGGCCCAGGAAGGGATTTTTTTAAACCAACGACCTGAGTTCCCTTTTCCTGGAGGTCGGGGTACAATCCTGAATTCTAGCCTGAGAGTAGGCCCCCAGCTCTACTGAGCGTCTGCAGCTAGACCCGGGTTGGGGACAGGGAGGATCCCCTGAAGGGTCTTCCCTGGAGCTCAGTGCCATTTGGACGCAGGTTGTTCTTTCCCTTTTTTAACACCTGTGTGTTTGCAGGTCAAAGGCATCGCCCTGCACCCTGAATTATTTTCTATCGAAAATGGCCTCCTGACGCCAACAATGAAGGCCAGAAGGCCAGAGCTTCGGAATTACTTCAGGTCGCAGATAGATGAACTCTATTCCACCATCAAAGTCTAATGTGAAAAAAAAACAAAAGCTCGGGAGAAACCACCCACCTCCACAGTCTTCTGCTGATGGCCTTCAAGTTGGTAACTTTGACGACAGCGAGTGTAGGGAAGGAAACGCCCATGTCTGACTTGTCCATTCGGGGTTGTTGTCGTAGGAATTAGAGGGAAACGGAACACTGCCTTACAGTCACCTCGCACTGCAGACCATGTACCTGGTGATAGACAACTTCCAAAATGAGCCTTAAAATTTGTCAAGGGGAAACTATAAATGTGCTAAGTTATTTGAGACTTCTTCAGTTTAAAAGGCTGGTGTTGAAACTTGTGTCTCCCTGTCCTTCTAACCAAAGGGTTAGGACTTAGCTATTTCTGATGTGTCTGCTACTTGCTGCAAAGTCTGCAGTTGTCTGCTGCTCTCAAGAGTACAATGCACTGGAGGGAAAATGTCCCCTAAAAGCAAGAACAGCTGCCCCAGCTGGAGAATATCACCAGAGGACCAGAGGTTTTTTTATTAATCCCTGCCACCTCCCCTGCCCCTTCTCACACGCACTCACAGTGCTTTCAGTCAAGGGTTCTGAAGCGCATGTTCTTCGCTGTGGCGCATAAGGCGCCCTGTGACGCGAAGGAAGAAAGACCTGGCTCAGAGGAGTCTCAGGCCAATGGCTGTTCTCCACGCGAATGCGTCCTGGCTCACACCAAGAGTGCCCTCGGACCCTCCTCAGACCAGATTCCCTCCCTCCATTCCTACCTAGGGGGTTGTTTAAAAATCTGCCTTAGACTCTACAGTGAAGACAAGCATTTCAAGAGGGAAATAATTGCCTGGATCCACCATGCTCAATGGTGATGCCTAAGTTGTGTTCCACTTTCTCTTCGCTGTGCCACCCGTCCCTGTTGGTAACGGCCAATGGATTTTTAATGTGGTTTTCATACCAAAAGATCCTGTTGTGATTAACTGGCTTTTCCCCCCAGAACAAACTCTCAGGCAAGGCATGTCTTTGAAAAACAGTGAGAGAGTAGATATACTTGGATACTTAACGGCAATGGACAGTAATAAACATAAGCTCTCCTACCATAAAGCTGCCGGATTTCTGTGAAATGTATTTGATAAGCCAAAATTCTAGGGTACAGGATAGAAATCTGGAGAACTCATTATCTGGGATAAACTCGAGGGATTTTTTTTTTTTTTAAGTTAATTTGGGAAATTAGCAGCATTTCACTTTACTACAAATCTTTGCCACACATGACTGAATTAAGTTGTCATTTCTACATTGAAAGCAGTTGTTTTTGGATGTGTGAGAGTACCTGTATTCTACAAGCACAACTGGGTTTGCACTAAGGAATTGTCACTGTCATAACACTATCTGGTAGCCGAACTTCATATGTTGGTTCTTAATTGCACAAAAAGTCAATAATTTTGTCACATGGGGTTTTGAGTGTTTGCTTTAAGTGTTGGCTCTTTCTATGTTTTATAAACCAAAACAATTTCCAAAAACAATGAAGGAAACCAAAATAAATATTTCTGCATTTCAAGTGGGTGAAGCCTTTCTTTTCATGCCAGGGGGCGGCTTTTGCTGTGCCCTGGTGAAGAGCTGGAATGGCCTCAGCCGCCAGCCCTCACCGTCTCCGTGCTCCAGGGACTCGTTGTGACTTCACAGGTGCTGAGCCTGGGCCTCTGGCCTCTGTCCTACTGTGTGAGAAGAAAATCAGCGTGGATGATGTCCATATTCTTGAAAACTCCAATTCTTTTCTGGAAAGCTACATTGGCTGTAGTTAGTGGTTCTGTGGTGGATTTAATTCTGTTGTGTTTTGGATATTCTTTTCGAGTGCAGCTATTTTAGAAGATAGCTCATTTATAGCAGCCAACTTTTTTCTTTTCCTCTATTACTCCTTTAAGCCATCATTTTAAAGATGTTCTTTTTCATAATTAATCAACCCCCAGTTTCTTAGCTAGTCTGCTGTATTTAAGTCCTTCCACCTCCCTCTGCCCTGAAATTCTGTTTGACGTGGTGATTTTGTGTTCTTCCTCTAAAGCATAACCCTGAGCACATTATCTCCGGTAAGGCTCCTAATCCATTCGCCTTTGTATTTGAAGAGCCTTGTCTTTTTCTTCCTCTTATCTTTTTTTCCCCTCTTCTTCCCTAACAAGAGTTGGAATCTGAAACACAGGCCTGACCCTCATGTTCCCTCCCTTATCAGGAACACAGGACTTAACAACTAGTAGTTGTCCCTTAAATAAATCTCATTTGAACACATACTTGAAATCCCGAACAACACTGCTCTTTCAATGAGATTGATAGAAGCACTGTTTTCTTTTTACCTTTTTTAAAAGTTGTTATAGTAAAGTTTGCCATGTTAATCAGTGTAGAGGTTCAGTGGCGTTAAGTCAGTCAGCATTGCCACCAGCTGCTCATCTTGCACAACAGAAACTGCCTGCATTAAACACCAGAAACTGCCTGCATTAAACTGCCTGCATTGTACCACTGCCCCTGGCAGCCCCTCTTCTACTTCCTGCCTCTATGAATTTGGCCACTCTGGGAGCCTCATATAAGTGAATCATACAGTATTTGTCTTTTTGTGCCTGGCTTATCTCACTTAGCATTATCCCCACAAGCTTACCCATGTCATATGATGAGTCAGAATGTCCTTCCTCCTTGGATAATACTATTCATTCTCTTGAATGAGTAATAATTTTATTGTATGATCATAGCCCATTTGTTTATCCATTCATTTGTTGATGGGCATTTCGGTTGTTCTCACCTCTTAATTATTGAGAATCATATCTCTAAGAACACTGGTTTACACATAGCTTTCAGTGCCTGCTTTCAAGTTCCTTGGGGGATCTACCCAGATGTGGAGTCACTGAGTCACAGGGTAATCCTGAGCCCTCTAAGCTCGGAACCCTCCCTGCAGGCTCCAGCTGTGACACACCCTCATCCTAGATCTAAATTCAGAAAAGCAGTTTGTTTTCAAGTGTATTTGGCATTTGCTAGTTAAATATTTTGCTCTATTCTCTATTTTTAGATGACTTGGAATAATACTAATAACTGAACTGTAGTGAGTGTTGCCACATGCTGGGCCTAGCATTTTACAGAGATGACCCATTTTATGTTTACAACCCTTTAAGTCAAATCTATCATCATCCCTAGTCTGCAAATGAGGAAACTGAAGCACGTAATAACTCCTTCAGTGTCACATACATGGGCAGAAGAGTCTGACCCTTGACACTGAGCTTCCAACTCACGCCCAGGATGTTTCCTCTTGTCCGTCTCTGGCAGTGAATGTGCTGAAACGTCACTGGACTGTTCTTGGTGCCAGCAGTCTTGCCTCAAAGCTGCAGCATCAATGGTTTCGATTCCTGTCTCGGGATTATTCTTTGTCCTGGCAGAAGAAGCTAATGCCACATCACAGAGTCTTATTCTGGTTTTATGGCTCCTCAGAAATTAAATATGGTTTCCCTCTGTGAGGTTGGCAAACCCAGATCCATCAAGGACCAAAATGTTTGGTGGAACTGACTGTTCTTTTTGGAAGCAAATATGCATAAAGCTGGATCACTGACCTTTGCTCATGAGATCCCCTAGAAGTTCTAGAAATTAGCAACTCTGAAAGTAGCGAGAGGTGTGGGCATTTTGGTTTTGCTGTGGTCAGCACGTTGTGCTGTGTTCTTTGCTGACATTCTCTTTTAATTCTCACAAAACACCCGTTAGGCAGGTGATTGCTCCACAGTTTTGTGTTGACCATGAGCTAAGTGCCAGGCATTGTCCGAAGCTGTGGGGACACAGCAGTGAGCAGACAAGATCCTTGTCCCCCACCCCACACTCAAAAGTCCATGTGTAACTTATAATCAGTTATTCAACCCACACATCTGCCATCGGTTGAATTCATGAACTCAGAACTCACGGAGAAAATCTCCAAGCAGTTCAATCGAGGTTTGTCCAAAGGTCAGCTCTGTACCTGTTTGCCCACTAAGTCATGTCACCGAGTGGGGGAGGGTAAGCCACGGCCTCTAGGATTTCGCTTTCATTTTTCATCCATATTTCCAGTGATGGTTTCTTTTCACAGCATCATAAGCAGAAGAGAAGCCTGCCAGTCTCCCCGATTGCTTGCGTGGAGCAGATGGACAGAGGGCACAGGCCCTGGCAGCATTGGAGAGGTGAGGCCATGGATCTGTTAGACTGACCAGACCCAGAGCATTCCTCACCCCCTCAGCCTCCACCCCCTCTGTTGATTATGGAAAGTCTCCAAAGACCAAAGCTTCAGAGCCCAGAGACCATTCTTCCAACACCTTAGCACAGCAGACTGGCACCCAGTGCTGAGAAATCACAGCTCCAGGATAGCTGACCCGCGAGGGCAAGCCCTGCCCACATCCCACCTTCTGTTGCCCAGGGCTTCCTAGAGTAGGTGTTTAGATTGTGTGTTCCTAGCAAACTCACTCCTCCACTCAGCATGGGTGATTGGGAAAGTCACCCTCCTCCAGTATTATCTACATATTTGGCATAAAAAGAAATCTAGATTTTTTCCTTTTGACTTTGAACTCTTCCACTCGTTGAGTAGCTCAACTGGTAGAAAGCTGGATGAACTCCACAGCTTCAAGTACAGAGGGATTCAGCTCTTGGCTGGAAGCAGGGTTTCTACTTCCACAATGCATTTTGCATGTAAATTCCTATGCATTCTCTTTTGTTGAGATTTTTTAATGGGGAGGGGAAAAGATTTATGCTGTCAAATTTCACTTAACAGAAATTGCCCCTGCTAAGTACTAAGGCTGCTGCATTTCCCCCCTAAGCACCCTTGGCAGGCTTTCTGCTCCACACAGGGCTTGTCAGTTTGGAGGGCGAGGGATGGGCGAGCAGCAGCGCTGTGCAGGGGCTGGAAGGCACCAGGGAGTGGGACACGTGAAGGGTGTATTAAAACAAGTTTGCTCACATTCTGCATTAGGTAACCAGTGCAGAGGCAGAGCGACTCTCATTTTTGAGTCTTGCTTTCCCACACCCACTGATACTGCCTTACCCGCCCTGCCCTCCTGCCAGCCCAGCCCTGCCAAGTCTGAGTTGTCAGTGGGCCTTGGATTTGGGAGAACTTCCAGGGCTGCCTCAGGCAGCCTCAGCATCCACATCTTCCTGA